TAAATTCGTTTTAAACATAGTACTGTATTTGTTTCAAATAAATTTTACGGCAATTGTATATTTGCGTCATATTACCAATAAATGTTTGCCGATGCAGCCTCATCACCTTTTACTTTATATATCATAAATATTATATTAATATAGTTACATAATTTACATATATAAAGTAAAGAAAACTACTTGTTCTATATAAAGATCCAACTTGCGGTTGGTCCTTTAACCACAGTCGTGGGTTTATTACACGTACATCAGACACATTAAAGAGAAAAATAAAAGCTTTTTATATGGTCCCCGCTGCAAAGCCATTGTGGTTTAGTAGTTACGGTATGAAATGCGATGTGTATGCAAAAGGTCTCGAGTTCGAGTCCCATTTCATTCTCTGGACAGATTCCTCTTCAGATACTAAACCATGGAGTAATGGAATATATTTTCATCAAACAGTTAAACCGCTGAAATAAAAACATGCAAGCCGAAAGGGGGAGGTTAATTAGTAGTAAAAAGTAGTGCGTTGTCTCGCGTGCTCGTAAGAAATTTTCAAAAAGACAGGAACGATGCGCTGTACTTTATAAGTCTTGAGAAGGATTGGAGTAATTTTAACGTTTTATGTCATCTCCACTTGATTGATTGCCAAACTGTCCTCGATATTCTTTCATTAGAGTTTTAAATACTCATGATTAATATTGCGAGAGTTACTTTCTGTCCATAACGAGGATTCTCTCTATCTCTTTCCTGTAGACTTTTACTCCCTTTGTTGTGAATGTGTGCTTTTGTTGAAGTCCACTCTCAGTATCTTCACCTATCGCCTGTCTGTCTGCTTCTTGGTATGGAGGGTCGACGTTGGAGGAAATGACGGCCACGAAGTTACAACTGGTTAACAATTGCAGTCATATAGGCCTACTTATTTCTATGGTTCAGTTTTGAAAGAGATAGTGAGAAACATGTTATCTCGTTTCAATCAACACAAAATGCAGAAAGAATGAATGTGTTAAATCTAGGTTATTTTTTTTTTCAAATGAGTTTTCTCTTTTAATGAAATAAAAGTAGAAGACAATCTGTTTTTGTTCCTAGATAAACAAACTTCCGACCGTATGTGTTATCAACGTCAAACGAAAACGGTGTTGCGTTCAGTAGTGTATAGGGCGTATGCACATATAAGAATGCTGTTTAATGCAATAGTACATACAGTACATTGGGTAACTGGAATTATTAAAAATAGAACTACAAAAATATCAAACTATACAAAAAAATATAATTAATAATTAAAGATTATATTACAACATATAATATACAACGTATATGTATATACAATAGGCCTATATAGGCATATGTAATATATACAATAGGCCTATATAGGCATATTGTGCCTGTATAATTATCTGTTGTCGCTCTTTATTAAAACCATAAAATGTACATAAGAGAGGTGACATACAATTTGTGAGAAGACAGTTGACCCTTACGAGATATATACAGTAATAACTTTAGGTTTAGCTATTCCTATTTGTGCAGATTCGCTTGTGTCCTTGGGCAAAGGCACTTTAGCTACATTGCTTCAGTCTACCCAGCTGTATCAATGGGTACCGTACCAGCAATCTAGTGTCCCGTCCAGGGGAGTACAACTCTCATCCGCTTCACACTACAGAAACTGGAGATAAGTTCCAGCCCTATGAGCCCCAGTGGCTCGGAAAGGATTTAGTTAGTTCCTATTTGTACGTCAGTGTTTGATTGAATAAATGGTTGTCTTTATATATCATCACTATCTCAATCCTTTTATTTATTATTAATTAATTATTATTATTATTATTATTATTATTATTATTATTATTATTATTATTATTATTATTATTAT